CACTCTAGTCAGTTTTGGTAATGTAGCTAATATTTTCAATTGTGGTCTGTTACGCGGAGAAGAACAGACCTTCACTGGACCCGTGCAAATACATATACTGCCATGAAAAGAATACTTAAGAGCCTCCAAATTCTTGAATGATCAGGTAGAGAGGGAAAGATGAATGCTTCAACCCTTGTTGCAAAGATACACTTTAGCAAATTGCTGTAAGTTACACATAGCTTAAAGGAGAGGAGAAAAGGGGTCCTTCACATCTGGAAAATAAAACACCAAAGCAACCAGTCCTCCATTCGAGTTCCAGAAACTCCCACCCAGCTCAGCGTTACGATCTTAAATTTATCAAAACCTATATTCCAGAGTACTTGTCAAAGTCTTTTCCATGAACCTCCTTGCAAGTGAAACCTATTTGTAAAGCCATGGGAGTAAAACAATAATTGTAACTGACAGAAGATATTTTTTGGGGGGGCGAGGGCAGGAAGATTAGCCCTGTGCTAACATCTGCCAATCGTCCTCTTTTTGCTGAGGAAGACTGGCCCTGGGCTAACATCTGTGCCCATCTTCCTCCACTTTATATGGGACGCTGCCACAGCATGGCTTGCCAAGGGGTACGTCGGTGCACGCCTGGGATCCGAACTGGCGAACCCTGGGCCACCACAGCGGAGCGAGCACTTAACTGCTTGTGCCACTGGGCCGGCCCCTGCCCACCCCCCTTTTTTTAAAGGCAATGGGTAAATACAATGGACAAGAAAATTTGGGTATTTTTGTGACGTACATTTTAGATAGTCACTAGAATTACAGGTAATAACATTATATTATGACATATTGGATGTTTAGGAGTTCTATACAATTTCTAGAACACTTTTTAGTAACATTCAACCACATTCAATATAACCTAAAAAGTCTCATCGCTTATTCAACCATGCTCCTCATGTAATTTGACATACGAAATAAGCCTAATTAGTGTAATATCTCTCTTTTTATAAGGAGAGGGGATAAATCCTTTGAGTGTCCCAGGTGCCTTCTGGAAAATCTCAAAGTTACATTGTGGTCAAAAAATATCATTTAGAATTTGAATATTTTGGGAAGCTTGTCAAAAATATCAAAAGGTTTGGACACTTGACCAAATACCATCATAGATCATTATGAAATAATACTTAAGTATCTATTTGATCAAAGTAACAATAATAGGTTTCAAAGGCGAGTACAAAAGGTTACATAGTTATAAGCAAAACTTAACTCCTTCAATGCTAAGAAGACTCAATTTTCTTAAGCAATTAAAGAGCCAGTAGAAACAACACAGGAAATTATTTAGACAAAACACAAAAATCTCTGTTTTCTAGGCATATTGCTTAAAGGTAAAGAAGCTTTCACAATCTGTTACCAAGAGCAGAGCAATCGCCCAAGAAAACCTAGTCCTCTTAACAGAAAAGAAAGCCAAATTTCAATTTGCATCAGCTTATTTTAATATTAAAATTTATTCATTCCAAATTTAGCCAGCCCTGACGGCTCATAAAATTCATTTCCCAAGATTCCTTTCCAGCAATCTTCTACAACTTTCTTTTTACGTTCAGATTTTGTCCTGTGTTTTCTTCTTTCTCATTCTGAAATAGCCAGCCTCTCTTTAAAAGAAAATTACTTTCTTTCCCCTCAACAGAATGTATTTCCATTCCTCATACCTTCTTTTACTGAAACACATCTTACTTTCCTTGCATACAGAGATGTTATCTTTTATTTCTAGTAGTTTTAGTTACATGTATTAGAATTCTTAACCCTTAGAATCCTCAATTCCTAGCGAAAACTAAGAACTAAGAGATTATGGACTGGCAGACTTACAAATACATTTCATAATTTCTAGAAGTATATTCTTTGAATAGTGCAATCTTTCCTTGTGGCACAAGACATGTTTACCAACAAACCCAAATTTATCTTTTCTTTGTTTTTGCAATCGGAAGCCAACAGTGGGTAAACCTATGTTCAGTAATTAATGTTTTAGTATTTTACCTTGTTTGGAAAATGATTTAGGTGTTCAATGACTATCCATTATTTATTTTAACTTAATATAAACTTTGACCTTATTTACACTTATTTTAATTACTTGCTTTTAGCAATCATGCTTGGATTAGACATTATTAAATAGCCAACCATCATCTTAAATTACTTTCTTGCTGACAGATTTTGTAAGAGAGGCAGCACAAGCCCACTTGACTAGTAAACCCAGGCAGAGAGGAAAGTTGTACATTTCCATTACACCCAAGAACGACAACTCTGAAAACGTGCCTGTTTTTTAATTTACACCAAGGACCTTAAGCTAGATTTTATGTACTAAAGATTAATCCTAGATCACATGAACCTGAAAAGCATTTAAGTTAGCTTATCATCTTTCTGAGATTTAGGAATACTTAATTTATAAGCGCTTACTTTCAAGCCATTTAAATAGAACTTTTTACAAATCACCTCTAGCAATACCATCCGGACCTAGAGAAATATCCCATCTCTATAACATAGATACATAGACACAGAGACAGACATAAGCAGAGACCTCATAGCTTTCATTTTAAAACTTTTAGCCATGTTTCAGTTACAAAACTCAAAAGAATAGTTGGATCCAAATTGTATTTCTGGCAGATGAACTAAGGTGAGGTTACTTGTTCAAGTGGCCAAAGTCTTTTATGAAAGATTTTTATTTGCATGCTGTAAGGATCCTTTTAGAGCTGTTTTTGGAATAATTCTATTATCAAAAGTCTAGGGTAATTGCTATTTAAATTTTTCCTTCTAGTTGTTTATTTGCTCAGGTTAACTTAGAAATAGTAATTAGGGGCTTAGCATTTGCATCCTCAGAGGGTCTGATCTTAAAGGCACAGGTTTTCCCAGAGGGGGAGAGAGGAAGATGGCACCCGGGGCAGCTGCAGCGGAGTCTGAGGCAAAGGTTTAGGGAAGACAAACAAGATGGCACCTGAGACAAAGAAGCAGCCAGGGGAGAAAGGCCTGGGCTCCAGGACTCCTGGGGCTCCCGGGATGGGGCTGGGGTCTGACTCACAAGTGGGGAGAGAGGGATGAGGCAGGGTCTCCTGTGTCTCAGTTCCTTCTCTCCCCCAGCTGGGACGTGGACCTCTTGTCTATCCTGACAGCGTACTGGGAGCTGGGACCAGACTGCAGAGAGAAGGGAGAGGACACCCTGGGAGGGTCTGCACTGCCCCATGGAGGTCAGGCCTGGGAGGTCAAGTGTGGAGCTAACACTCAGAGAAGCAAGGGTTGAAGCCAGGAGGCACCCGGGCTCTCCTCTCTCAGGCCCTCAGTTCTCAGAGGAGGGGAGCAGGGTTCCCACCACAGGGGACAGGCCAGGCCTGCCCTTCTCCACGTCGCTCTGCCTGCTTGGGCTCCTGCACACTCTGCACCACGAGAGCTTCCCGGCCCTGCCTTGAGTGCCCCGTGGAGGTGGCTCCCCCCACAGATGACTCACCCAGAGCTGAGTCAGGAGGGGAAGGGTCAGTGGGCTCAGAGGCCAGGGGCCTGGTTCCCGCTCAGCATTCCACTGCTCCCTGTGTGCCCTGGGGCTGGGGCCACCCCTCTCAGCCTGTTCCCCCAGGCGTTGGGGAGAGAGGGGGCACCAGCCATGTGTCTCCCTGGAAAAGCTGAATTCTGAATCCTCACAGAGGAGAGTCTGAGCAGAGAGCGGCGTCCCCCTCACCACAGCCCCAGTCAGCTCTACCCGGGGAACAGGGGCTGGGGAAGGAGCTCAGGGGAACACAGGCCAGCAGGGGTGCTGTGGGGTGGAGGCTGATCCAAGCAGGGATCCAGAGACACAGTCTGAAGTCCGGGAAGGAGAGGGATAAAGAAGCCCCCCCGTCCACTTAGCCCCTCTCTGAGCCACTGAATGTTCTTGGCTGAGCCTCAGTTTCCCCATCTATAAACGGAAACCCCTATAGCTGAGATGAGGATGGGACTGGAAAAACCAAGTTGTCATTCTCTTCCTTTGGGGCAGGGCAAGGAGGGGCAGACAGTCAGGTGGGTGTCTGGGGGGGCTGGCTCACCAGGGAAGCAGATGTCAGGGAAGGCGGCTGGGGGCTGACAGGGACCACAAGTGCTGAGCTGGCCAGAGGGGTGTTGCAATCCTGCCAGGGTAGTGACTGTGTGTCCCTTTCATCTCCAGGCTGACTCGTGGTTGTGGGGGCACGAGGCCAGCCAAGCTAGAGTCTGGGGCCGGGGTCACTGGCGGTCAGAGGCAGCTGAGAAGAGGGGGAAGCACCGGATCCAGCCCTGGGAAGCTGATGGGGTGCTGGGAGGGGAGATGGGGGGGTCATCGTGCCTGGAGGGGCCTGAGAGGGTGAAGAAGAGCAGACGGAGTGTTTATGGGGGCCCTGAAGGCTTGGAGATGGGGGAACAGTGGAAGAGGGGACCTCGGGTAACGGAGGGAGGGACACACACTGGAGCCTTGCAGCTGAGGTTTTGTGGTTTAGACAGGCTGAAATGACCCCTCCCCAGAAGGGAGAGTGGGGGCTGTGAAGGTTAGACCCCAGGGAGCATCCAGGGAGGGCTGCATGCTCCCAGATGCAAGTTGTGGGACTTGAGGGGCGTCTGAGAATAAGACTGGAGGTGGCGGGGAGGGGGTAGGAGTGGGGGGCAGACAGCATGACCCCAAAGTGTGGAGTGGGAGTTGTTTGGGCTGAGGAGGCTTGTGAAGAAGGGGGCGGCATGGAAGAGGGGGCGGAGGGTACAGTGTGAACTGATTCCTGAGTCACCCAGAGAGAGACTGAGACCCCTGAGGCTGGGAGAATGGGCTGCAGCAGGAGGGGAGGGTGGGGACTGTCCCCTGGGGGGAGGGGCTGGAGCAGGCTGAGGTCCCCACAGTCAGGGAGATTTGGAGGTGCAGGCGATGAACAGCAAGAGGCTTTGGGCCAAAGGGACCCGACCCACCCCCACCAGCAAGGGGCCCAAATGGAAAAGGTGAGAGGACACAGGGAGGCAGGCCCAGGGGAGGGAGGGCAACCTGCCCCACCCCTCCCCAGCCTAATAAAGGCCCAGGCCAGCCAGGCTCCCTCACCTCACCTGTCCCTCACTGGTCCAGGCAGGTGCTCACCTGTCCTGTCCCTCACTGGTCCAGGTAGGTGCTCGCTGACTTGCCGGGAGGGACCTGGGGGAGGGAGAAGGGTCTCACTGATCACCCCCATCCTTGCCTCTGCCTCCAGAGTGCCCCTCCCACCAGCCATGAGGCTCCTCCTGTCGCTCCCGGTCCTGCTGGTGGCTCTGTGGATGGTCTGCGAAGGTAAAAGAGGAGAGGAGACTCTGGGAGATTGAGATTGGGGAGTGCGAAGCTGGCCACGGGCCTGGAGTCCTGGCTTAGAGGACCCTTGAGAGCTCTGGGGCCCCTCCTGTAACCTGGTTCCCCTACTGTCCACCGATCACCCCCACCCCCCACCCCTCCTGGTGGGTCTCAGGGTCTCTAAAGGGCAGTCTTGTGGGTGGGAAATTTGCCCAGCGGAGCCCTAGCAACTGATGACGTACTGACTCTCACCCCTCCAGGATTGGCTGTCTTGCTTTTACGACCTGGAAAGGTCCGAGGGAGGGGGTGGGTGTCCAGTGGTGAGAGTAAGGTAATTCCCAGCAGCTCCAGCCCCATGTGCTCCAGTGCCCCCCCTTCACCCACATTCTATCACCATGAGCCCCAAGAATCCCATTCATTGATGTCCCTTCCTCTCCCTGGAATCTCATGCTAAGGCCTCCCAATACTGAAATGTTTGCACCCCTACCCATCTTCTGGGCAGGTCCAGCCCCAGCCCAGGCTGACCCAGAGCCCTCTGGCTTCTTGGATTTCATCCCGGATGTAGTGAATGTGATTGCAGAACTTCTGGGGAACAAGAACGAGGAAGCCGACAACAAGATCAAAAAGGATGACCCTCCCTCTACAACCGGGTTAGGACTCTTCCTAGGACATGGGAAGGAGGGAGTGTATCGATGAACAGATGGGAAAACAGGCCGGGAGAGACTAAGTCCCTGTGGTGCTCAGACTGGGGAGACAGGTTCCCTGACTCCATCCAGGCTCACTGTGAGCATGATCCTGGGTGGTGGTGAAAGACCCAAGCAGGGGACTTGGACAGACCTGCATCCACAGGCTGGGGAAGACCCACTCCTCCCTTGTGACCACGACCCTCAGTGTCTGCATCTGTAAAATGGGTGTTTCTGGGGGAAGGAAACTGGAGGACTTGCGTCGTGCCAGGCACAGTGTAGATGCTCCATAATCATTTCACCCCCAGTGGCTCTGTCTGAGGAGTGAGAAAAGCATCCATTCATGAACAGAACATTCAGATATTCATGGAGCATCTGCTAAGGGCCAGGACCTGTTCCAGTGTGGGGAATAATCATGACCAACAAGATGAAGTCTCAGCCCACGGGGAGCTGACATTCTGGGGGGAGGTAGAGTGGGGAGGAACAGACCATGAATGAGGGGATTCCAGGAGATGACCCTTGGGGGAAGAGAAAGATCAGAGAGTCACGTTAGGGGCGGGATTAGGCATTCTAGGGGGAGGCAAAACACAATGACCTCTCCCCCACCTCTCCCTACAGGGCACCCGTATCGAAGCCAACCTAGAAATTACTTCACAAGCCTACACCACAACACAAGCCATCACCACAACACCACTCCACCAAATGCTCGTAGGGTCCTCCCCTCTCCTCTCCGGCTGTGCCCCAGCAGAAGCCACTGAAATTTCATGTGCAGAAGATTTCCCACATGATGCCCCATATCCTTCCCACCACCCACCAGCAATAAAAATCCTATAGAGAATTCTGAGTGCTTCTTTGCTGTGGAGCAGGGCTGCAGGACAGGGTGGGGGTCGCGCCTTCAGGGAAGAGAGGCAAGGACTCACCTGTATCGAACATTCTCTACTTGCTCCCTGCTGAGGGCTTAGAACTTCATGATCTCAAAAGAATCCTCACAAGAACCTTGGGAGCTGGGCCCTATTAATCCCACGAGGGCATTGCCTGAGAGTGATACTGATCCTCTGGATCTCAAGTTCTTGTGCCTGATGCACAATAAGCCAATCACTGAGGCCCTGGTGGTTGGAGATGGAAAAAGTTTTATTCAAATTGACAGAATGAGAAGGAGGGAGGATAGGTTCTTTCTAATCTGTCTTAACAAAGGAAGAAAGCAGGGGGGTTTTACAGAGCTAAGGGGCTTGGCAGGAGGAGTTTGAGAGAAACTAGGAAGTCCGTGTTTCTTTCACTCCAGATAAGCCCTTGGGCACCCTGACTTCTTGGCTCCAGCAGCAGCTGGGGGCTGGTGATCTGGTGGTCATAACCTCCTTACAGGCATTCTTTTTCTTCTGCAAGACAACCTCATAAATCCTTTCAACCCTTGAGTCACCCCTCAGGTTAAACAAGAAAACAGTAAATTAACAAGATTAACTTTTTCTCAATTGTGCCTGTGTTGGGAACAAGGTTGAAGAGCAACCATGTTCTTACTGAATATTTACAAGAACCCTCACGTACCTGGCTTCAAGAGTTGAAGACACTTGTGCAAGGTCACACAGCCAGGAAGTGGAGAACTGGAGTGGACCCCAGTCTGAGGCCGTCACTTTGCTCTGCTCTTCCTTGGCTGGGCTGCTTAAAAGAAGCGACTGGGTTGACTCATACTGTGCACACAGGCGGTGTTTATTATATTTCAATGGATCAGGAAAAGGGATCTGGATGAGGGCCAGGGTAGGATGTGAGCTAAAGACTGACACAATCCCCACCCTTCCAGTCTCAGCTTTGATGTTCCCTCCTCCAGGAAGCCCTCCTTGATTGCCAGGCTGGATCAAGCACCTCCATCCCAGTACTGCCCACCCATATCTGGGGACAGGTCTGTTTCCTCCACTGGACTATGAGCCACAGAAGGACAGGGCCAGGGCTGTTCTCTCCACTATTTCCCCAGGCACCGCCCAGCACAGGCCTGGGCATAATGCTAGGGCTAATAACACTTGTAATAAGTCATTATAGTAATCTGAAAAAAAAAAAATCCCTAGACGTTACATTTCACAAAACTCCTCTGAGGTAGACGTGTCACTGCCCCTATTTCTAGAGGAAGAGACCGAGGCACAGAAGGCTAAAGTCATTTGTGTGACAACACACAGCCAAAAGTGGGTAGAGCCAGGATTGGAACACAAGGAGGGGTGCCAGGGTCACATTCTTACTCACTCCGCTTTCCTCCTCACCCTGCAGAGCATGCGGCTCTGACTGTGCACACGTCCTGCCCCAGGACTTGCTGGCATCATATCCCACATATGACAATGCACCCACGTTCCTCATTAGATAGAAATCATAGCAGGCGTTGCACTGTGGTTGCCTAGCTGGCAAGAGAGTATAATCTGTACCAATTTAATCCAACAGTTACTAATTTTTGATAGGCCATTTTTCCAGCATTTTGAAGCCAATCAATTGATATTCCAATCATTTTTATCAGCCCCTGGGAAGCTCTCAGGCTGGAGGCTCAAGAGACTCACAGGGACAGAGGGGATGGACGGGCAGTTCCTGCAGAGAGTGTGCATCTGCTATGAAGAGAGCCCGAAACTCAGGGGCAGTGAGAGGAAAACAACCACAGACACCAGTCAGTTTCCGATCACCCAGCAGAGAGCAGAAGAGCAGAAAATGCCAGGTTGGTGAGGATGTGGGCCCCTGGGAAGCTGCAATACTCCTCGGGATTGTGGCCTGGGTCACTGTTCTGGAGAGCAACCTGGCAGTGTCTAGTGACATTAAGTGTCTGTGTGTCCTGCATCCCAGAAACTCCAAGTCTGGTCCAATGCAGGGGCCAGAGAAAGATATGAAGATGGACGAGGATGTTCATTGCAGCGTTATTTGTTATTTCTTTCTGTCCCTGTCACCAGCTCTTAGTGGTCTGTGTTCATTTCTTGCTTCCTTTTTCCATCTGAGCTCCTGGCCTTCCCTCCCTCTGGTTCTCGGGCATGTTCCTCTCTGTCTCCCTCCATCACGCTAGCTCGGTCTCTCACACTCTTCCTTCCCATCTCTCCTTCTGTCTCTGTCTTCTTCTCTTGGCCTTTCCTCCTCTCCCTTCTCTCCCTCTCTGGGGTCTCTCTGTCCTCATCTTGCCCTTCCCCGGCCCCGTTGTTCTCCCTTTATCCACATACTCGCTCCCACCCTCTCCATCCCCCCGGGTGCTGACGGAGGAGACCGTGAAGGAGGTGAAGTCTTACAAATCGGAGCTGGAGGAGCAGCTGGACCCCATGGCTGAGGAGACACAGCCACGTCCAAGGAGGTACAGGCAGCCTGGCCCGCCCGGGAGTGGACATGGAAGATGCGCACAGCTGCCGTGCGCAGTACCGCAGCCAGGTGCAGGCCATGCAGAGCCAGAGCACCAAGGAGCCGTGGGGGCGCCTCCACTCCCACCAAAACCAGTGGCCACATGGTCATTAGTTATTATTCTTAAAGTCTTGAGATAAGCAGTATATTATCAGGCTCCCACTAGGATTTCTACAGATAACATCCATGACACTTGAGTCACCATGGTAATGGGTGCTTAAGTTGTTTTTCAGTAACTGAGAGTCGACCTCTTGTCCAGGGGTCAGTTGAGACCACCAACCCCTCAACCAGGCCTGCGTTAATGGCTGATAGGTGACACTTTAACATCAGGGGGCCAAAAACTCCACCCTCAGATCATGATAACACCACCATTTTGTGAACACGTGTCTTATGAAGAGCACGAAGGTTGTGCAGATCATCAATTAGCTCACCTCTCTTTACCTCCAATCATCTACCTCCACACTTCAGATGATCCTGCCTCCTTATCCCATAAATTTTGCCCCACGTCCTGGAACAGGAAGAGAGATTTGAAATCCTTGCCTCCTGTCTTCTTGCTGGTCAACCTCACAATAAAACCTTTTCTTTTCTCAAAACCTGGTGGTGTAATTATTGATGTTTTTACGTGCATCAAGCAGAGAACCCCCTTTCTGTGCAGTAACAAATTCCAGCGACAGTGAAGGAACCAGGTCCTGTGAACCCTCGCCAGAGGCTCTAGAGTCCTGGGTGGGGTGCGAGGTCTCTTCACGGACCCTAAGCCTCTGCATAGACAGTTTAGTTTGGAGGGTCAGCTGATTGGATTCCCATTTCCCACCTCGGCTCCCTAAGCCCGTGGGTGCTTTTTTACTTTTGAGAGAAGAAACAGCTCCTGGATCAGACGCCCTTTTGGGTGAGTGTCCTCATTAAAATACGCCTGTGCTAAATTGTCTAATAATCTCATCA